TCGCAAGCGGGGTGAAAAGGAGTCGCCCCTGGTATACCGGACGAGCCTCCTGGCGATGGCAAAGACGGCCTTTCCTCGTATGGACGACGACGGCGTGGACGCGATGGTCACGGAGAAAATCCTCCTCCTGGCAGATGACCTTGACATCGCTGTCGTCGCACAGGAGGACGCGGAGATGACATCGCTCCAGGCTGCGCGGCTCCTCCACGCCAACCTTCTGTCACTGCAGCGGAAAGCCAGCAGGGCATCGGCCGGGCGTGCGGTGGCTGCAGCCACCCTTCCGACGGAGGAGCTCTACGCCATCGACCACTGACGGCAACAGGCGACAGGAGCACGGTCGGGCCGGGACGGGTCGAGCCACTTCGACCGTCCATCATCTCCGACGGCACTCCCACGGTGTTTCAACTGCGGCGTCCGGGGCCACGTCGCCTCGGGGTGCCGCTCTCCTCGACAGCGCGGGACGACACCTCAACGGGACGACGGCCCTCGTCACAAGCTCCACCATCATAACCCGGCAAGTCGCGGCACCCAACATGTTTGGCCCACGCACACGCCCGTCACGCACTCAAACACCGCAACGAATGGGGGGCCGATATCGCGCACCATCGCACCATCACGCACCACTCTGGGTACTCATATCGAACCCGGCCAGTGGTCCGTGTTGGCCGATCGTGTGGTAGCCGCATCGTCGGGGTCGTCTGCCGTTGTGGGGCACATCGACGGGGTTGAGGTGCGCATCCTGGTCGATACGGGAGCATCGGCGACCATTATTTCGGAGTTAATTTACAATATTCTCCCTGTCCAGAGCCGTCCTTTGATGCCTGTTAACGTGCCATTCTATGCTGCTAACGGGGGCTCACTTGGCATCATCGGACAGATTCGTGCCCAAATTTGTATTGGGGAAATTAAATTGTCTGGGCCGATTTTTGTTTCCTCCTCGCTGGCGGTTCCGTGCCTGCTGGGGACGGACTTCCTGGCCAAAATGCCGATTAGGATATTAATCGACCAGGGATGCATTGAGCTCCCGTCGGGCCGACGCATGGCGTTTCTGCCATCGCCAGTTACGACTCGGACGGCGTTCGCGACGGTGCCGGCATTCGTAGATAGAACGGTGCGCGTCCCTCCGGGGGCACAAATGTTGATTCCTTTGAAACTTCGGCGGCCCTTCGCTAAGGGTATTGGGGCCCAAGGGGTTCTGCTGGGGCCGTCTAGGGCCGGGGTTAGTGGACCTCATTTACTCCCGGCCCAGACCATAGTAAAAGGGGACGGTGAACCCTTCATCGCGGTCCTCAATGTGGGCTCGCAGACGGTGGTGGTCCCACAGGGGACCGTGCTTGCTCACGCAACGCCGGTGCCATGTGAGGAACCCGTCGCAAATCACGTCAGCGTTGTCCCTGCGCCGCGACCGCATTCGGACAGCGATGAAGGGTGGCTCGAGGCGCTTTGTGCGGGATCGACGGACCTGTCGGATTCAGAGCGTCAACAACTTAAAACACTACTGCGGGAATTTTCCGACGTTTTCAGTCGAGATAAATACGATTTGGGTTGCACTCATCTGCTTCGTCACCATATTGATACGGGTGACAGCGCGCCAATACGCCAGAATCCCTTTCGGTTGAGTCCCGCCGAAAAGGACCATGTCAAATCTGCTATTGATGACATGTTGGCCGCCGACATCATTTCTCCTTCCACCAGCCCTTGGGGAGCGCCGATCGTCCTGGTTAAAAAGCAGGACGGCTCGTTGCGGTTTTGCGTTGATTTTCGGCGCCTTAACAAAATTTCGGTTGCCGACGCATACCCGCTCCCTCGGATGGATGAATCGCTGGACGCCTTGGCGGGAGCGCGATTCTTTTCCACACTGGATTTACTTTCGGGATTCTGGCAGCTTCCTCTGGACGATGACTCAAAGCCTAAAACTGCTTTCCGTACACTGCACGGCCTGTTCCAATTCAACCGGTTGCCGATGGTCTTACACTCAGCGCCGGCAACTTTCCAGCGTTTGATGGAATTGGTTTTGGCTGGATTGCAATGGGAGTCGTGCCTCATTTATTTGGATGATGTTATCGTTATTGGTAAAACTTTTGACGAACATCTCCAGAGGTTGCGGGCGGTTTTCCTAAAGATGCGGGCTGCTAATTTGAAATTCAAGCCCCAAAAATGCCATTTGTTACGCGATTCGGTGCGTTATTTGGGGCACATCGTGGGACGCTCAGGTATTGCTACCGATCCCGCCAAAACGCAGTGTGTCAGCTCCTGGCCGACTCCCACCTCGGTGGGAGAGGTCAGGAGTTTCATTGGCTTCGCGTCGTATTACCGACGGTTCGTCGCTGATTTTGCGACAATTGCCAAACCCCTGCACGCTTTAACATCAAAAGGGGTTCGGTTCCACTGGGGTCAAGAGGAGGAGGCTGCTTTCTGCTCCCTTCGGGACGCCCTGGTAAAAGCTCCTCCCTTGGTTTACCCCGATTTTTCTAAGCCCTTTTTGCTCGACACCGATGCGAGCAACACGGGTATTGGGGGTGTGCTTTCCCAGGTGGTTGACGGCGTGGAACGGGTGGTCGCGTACGGTAGTCGGGTGTTGTCTCCTGCGGAGCAAAGATATTGTGTCACCCGTCGGGAACTGTTGGCAATTGTCTATTTCATCCAACAGTATCGCCCATATCTGTACGGTCGGCATTTCACCGTCCGCACAGATCATGCGGCACTACAGTATGCCCTGCGAGTTCAACAACCATCGGGACAATTGTCTCGATGGTTGGAGATTCTCCAGGACTTTGATTTTGAAACCACCTACCGTAAGGGCGTTCGCCACACAAATGCGGACGCTCTGTCGCGCATGCCAACCACCTCCGAATGTGCATGCCTCCTGGGGTCGGGACGTTGCAGGCCTTCAGGAGACGTATCGGTTCCGGTCTTGGCAGCCACCGACGACGACGAAACATTAATTACTAATTCGATCGAACAACAGGGAAGAGATTCCCTGTTGGGGTTGCCCGTCACTGAATGGGGGCGCCTCCAGATGGAGGATACCTCCCTCCTCGGGTGGCGTCGTCGCGTCGGGGGTGCTGGGCGGGTGAAGGGTGATTCTGATGCATGGGAAATGGTGCAAGGTCTGCTGATGCATTGGGACGGGAAATCCCATCGACATCGGCTGGTGGTCCCTTCTGGGTTGCGAGGCAAGGTGGTGTGGGCCGCGCATGAGCGCCTTCTACACCTGGGGACCCAAAAGACTCTCGCCTTGCTACAACTTGATTTTTTTTGGCCTGGCATGACGAGGGATGTTGGGGATTTATTGGGATCATGCCCTCGGTGTGCGCAACGGAAACCGCCGGCACGGGAGTCTAACCCACCCTTGCAATCGATCAAAGTGTCCAGAATAAACGAGCTTGTCGCGCTGGATATTTTGGGCCCATTTCCCGCCACCCCCAGGGGCAATAGATATTTGTTGACTGGTGTGGAGTATTTTACACGCTGGCCTATGGCCTGGCCCCTTGCCAACCAGTCGGCAGCAGCCATCGTGGAGGCCTTTGTTCAGGGATACGTCCTGGACAAAGGTGCTCCGGAGCGGCTGCTAACCGACCAGGGCAGAAATTTTTCTGGTAAACTACTCAAACAAGTCTGTGAGCTCCTGGGCACGAAGAAAATTCGTACCTCCCCGTATCACCCGCAGACTGACGGGATGGTCGAGCGCCTGCATCGCACCATCACGTCAATGTTGTCACAGCAGGTCTCAGACTCACAGACCGATTGGGACCTGCAAATTCAAGGGGTCTTGGCGGCATACCGGATGGCACCCCATGCAGCTACGGGATTTTCTCCCTTTTACCTCATGTATGGTCGCGAACCCGACCCGCCTGTTCGCGCCCAGCTGCAGATCCCCGAACCGCAAGGAAAAACTAAATTGACTGACCATGTAAAATTTAATCTGGCCAAATTAACAGAGGCGCGGGATGCTGCAATGCTAAACTCGGACCTCCGTCAAAAGGCGAATGAGCGCCTCAGACTGGGTCGGGCGCACATGATACAGTGGAAGCCGGGGGACAAGGCATGGTTGCACTGTCTCCAGGTGCCACTGGCAACCTCCTCTAAGCTGGTGCGGCCGTGGCGGGGACCTGTGGAGGTGGTCGAGGTTTTGCGACCACAGTGCGTGCGCATCAAATGGGGGAAGCGGCGGTGGTTCGTGCACCCCTCTAGATTAAAACCCTTCGTTGCGGTACACAAACCCACTTCACATATGCGTGGCCAAACATGTGGGGGGTCGACCGACTCACTGGGTCCGTCTCCGTCGCCCTCACCTAATGCCTTGCCGGCCGTACCACCTCCAGGTGCATCAGGACTGACGGGCTCACGCCCGACCACCCCTCCTGGGGATACCAAAGGTCGCGCGGCGTCGGATGAGGACTCACTCCGGGACGGACAATTGCCACCTGACGGTCCGCCACCCGGGGTTACCCCGTGTGAAGGGCCCGCTGCAAGGACGCGCGCAAAAATGCGCAGACTGTTGTGAGGCCGGAAGATGTGTACATAGGTTGTGTTCATTGTGTGTTGTGTGGGTGGTGTGTTCCCTGCCCATTGAATGTACATACGTTGGGTTCACCTGGTGTTGTGTGTGTGGTGGGTTCCCTGCAAATTGTATATAGGCTGTTTTTTTTACGGAATTCGTATTTATTCAGGGGGGGTGCGTCGGGTTGTTTTCTCTTCTTGCTGTTGCATTTTGTTGTGTTCTTGTTGCTGTTCTTGTTATTGTTGAAAAATAGTGAGGTACACGCGCGGTCAGGGGGTAAATGCACTTTTATTGTCATTTTTTTTTGTATGTTGGCAGCCGGGACGGCTGCAAGCTATGCGGGGGGGGGGGGGGGGGGGGCGGGGTGATGTAGGGGTGTTAGAGAGAGAGCCGTTATGCATGGCAGCCTATGGCAAACAAACACAGTGGGCGGGGCTACGTAAGTGCACGGGGAGGTGCCCTCTACGACGTCCGAGCCAGGCACCCTGGGGGGGGCTGGTTCGAACGTTAGGATCCCCCGGGGCCCCACCCCTCAGGGAGGGGTTGGGTATAAAAGGGGATGTATCAAAGGGCTCGGGGGTAGAGTTAAAAGCTAACCAGAGAAGACTGAAGACGTCTTAGATAGAGCCCTGGACTCCCCTAGTTCGATGTCCTTATCAGGGCCGAACAGGACTGAGCCAGCGGCGTGGTCCCGAAAGCCAGAGCCGGTGCTCTTGTAAGAGCTGGTCTGGGACTCCGGGTACCGGGCCCGACTTACCAGTGTCGGGCCAGATAGCCTCCCCTAGCCCGTTAGTGGAGGACTCGGGGGTAGGACAGGGATAGCTAGGGGTGTATTCCCAGTTATACGGGTGAGGGGGCCGATACCCCCTCGAGTGTTATATGCCCACTGTTGTACTGTAAAATAAATACACGTGTGCCTCCACCTCGGTGTCAAGCGTCCTCACCGGTACTTCACTATTAACACTCCTTCCCTTTATTAAAGCTACCCCTATCCCCTCCCTTTGATGCTGCTATTCCTGCATAATGCACGGGCATAAGTGGTACTGGTCGCATACCTGCATTTCCCATGGATATGCTAGATTCCTCTTGATATGCGAATTCCTTTGTCGGGGCACGCTTCCCCTTCCAACCCAGCTTAAATATACACTGCCAAGCCTGGTGGTGTTCATTCAGACGCTGTCTGACAGACCTGTTCTTCACCTGAGGACGGCTGCTTGCGTTGTGGCCGAAACGTCGTGAGAATGATTTTATTATATTTTATTTTTATTATTTTATTACTTCCCTTCTACGTGACTTTACTGAAAGAACCAAGAAGATGCCTTTAATTATTATACCAATTTACCCAGGAGAGGCTTCACTGAGTTTCATGACATTTTTTTGAGGAAGATCCTTCCAAATCGTCACAGGAGATGATTTGTCCTGACCAGTGGGCATTAATAAAAAAAAATAAAACCCTGGTTTGCCCTGTGACCTCATTCCAGCGATCCTTCACTGCTGCTTCGTAAGAAATGTGCATGAAAGGATTGCTCGTCCGACAGATGCCATGGAAAATCCTCCACCCTACAATTCCCTGTACGGCACGGGGTGGCCTCATCCAGCAGTGGATTAATACAATATGGGCTTACGTGTACATGCAGTGCTGCCATCGATGCCCTACGGAAGGAAGCCTGGCACACTCCTCTTCCACAACCGCAAGACCAAATGTATACATGGCGAGCCACAGGCAGATCTTTTGGGGAAAGTGGTTGGCGAGCACCTATGAAGTCCGGCACGGTACACGAGGGGGTGGGTGTCCACACTGGCGGAGCCAGTGGGAGGTGGGGTGGCACATGCCCCCCCAATGATCCGATCTAAATTAGGGATTTCGATCGGATCATTGGGATTTATTAGTAATAAATCGGCATTTTGCAACCCCCAGTGCCACTGTGTACCATATTATTATGTGCCAGGGACTCTGAGATGATATGACAATAGTCTGAGTCCATAATTGGCAATAAGTAATGGAAAAGCAGTTATAAGTGACTCAGAATTGTACGCAGTTGCGTATACAGTACAAGACTTCCCTGAAGGCAAACACCTTCAGCGAGCGCGATGCCGATCACATGGTTCGAATTCGACCCTCGATCGATGGCTACGCCATCGCCCCACACGTGTCGCATAAAAAGCAAGGGACAAGTCCTTACTTACTAACAACTCCTCTATCATTTTTCATTGCTGGAGGGGTTGCCCCCCCCTACCTGAAAATCCTAGCTCCGCCACTGGGTGTCCAGCAACCCGCCTTTGACCGCCTTTGTCCCAGAGTAGCGGTGCTTACCCACCACACCAGGTACTCATTTGAAGCCGAGTCGACCTAGGGGAGGCCTAGGACCGGTTCAGATATTCGACACTGATGTTGACTGTGAAGGGGAATCGAACTCGGGTTGCCAGGTTCATAGCACATCACATTAACTGCTACTTGCACAAACACCCACGGAGATTCATAAACGTCCAATGAGGATTTTATAACTCCAATTTGCATGCTTATCTTGCAGACAGGTGTCTAAAATGTAGTGGGTTCGTGGGCGGGATTGCGATTTGTGCTGCATACATGATTGTCCACCTTGTCTCCTGCACCCCCACTTCCTCTCATTGGTGCAAACCTAAGTCCATCGCGAAAGTGAGGTAATTTCAGACCAGTATAAACCCTCGTTATGCGCGAGTTCTGAATTCGCGAGTTTTTGCATATTCGCGAGTTACTAAATGCACATCAATTCCCTATTCGCGACCCACCGGACTCCAGTATTCGCGAGTGGACGTCGTGCCAGACCACCGACACCGGGGAGGTGCGTGCAGAATTAAACATTTGACACTGCGAGGATTAGTCACGCTCCCTCGGCCGCCCACTTAGTCCTCCGTCTCGCAGCAATCCCGTTCTGAACTCGCTATTGTGATTTTTATTCTGTATACGTACTTAGTCCACTCGTTTACACATTTTGGTATGGATGAGTCGACTGTCGGGTCCATTAAAAATAACGCGAAAACAATCGGGCAAAGTGTTGCGGCTAATGCTCCTTAGAGTGCTAAATGATAACTGTGCAATGTTTTCAAACACCTGCATCTCCCCAGGAGTCATCCTCCGCAATTCAACACCTTCACCACCACCTCCATTTAAGTCAAATCATCATCAAAGGCAATTAAAATCATTGTTCTAGATAATGTATTATTTATTGGAGTCATTGTTATTAAACATTTACTATCCCTCCCCCCCCATGTTCACTAGTACCAGGAACGGAAACCCCATTGTTCCCATTGGAAGATTTCTGTATTCGCGAATTCTGCATTCGCAAGAGTGCTTTCAAGAACGCAACCCTCGCGGATAGAGAGGGTTTAATGTACTCATGAGTATGATCTCCTTGCTGTCGTAAAATCGTCTCAATTGTAAAAATAAAGGAAAAATAAAGTATAGGCATGGATTCTATAATATTTTCCAACATGCATTTGTCTTTGAAAGTATTTAATTAACAGTTATGGAAGCTGACGGGTAGCAGTCAGGGCAAAATGCATTTGCCATAACCCTAAATGCGAAATGCATTTGGGTATTTGCAAAGTCCCTCTTGCTACGAGTTGTGTCTCAAAGTTTTGGGCAACACTTCCACTAATTTGGCCGGTTTTTAAAAGGATAATTCCCAAATTTCAACACAAGTTTATACTAAAACTTCCTTAATATTGGATTATCTTTACAAGAGTTGATGTGCCACCCCCACCCCCACATGGATGGACCAAGGTACGGAATAACAGACAGCTGCTGCACAAATGCTTGCACCTTAGTTGGAAGGAGTTAATAAACAGCCCACGCTCGCCATGAACATAACCATGTTTTTTACACGTATATGCGTGCACATAGGACCATTGTCAAACTCAACTGTGAAGTTTTGGTCTTATTTGACAGCAGCAGTTTTATTCAATTACGTGTTCAAACGAGCAACCGTATTCCTGAGCCAATTCCACGTTCCTATGACGAAGCAATTCTATCCAGAGATAAGCCAATGTTGACTTCCCAGAATATCATAATTTATACCCTATGAAGGCAAAGTGGAATTAGTCAAACCCCAAATGAGATTTCAGGGCATTGTGGTGGTCTGCTGTGGTAGCACCGTGTGGTGAGGCGATGTGGTATGATGTGATAGCATTGTGTGGTACAGAATGGCGATGTACAGTTGCTGTGATGTCCCAGTGGTGCCATGGTATGCCGCGTTAGTGCAGTTTGGTAACTGTGGTGTGGTACCACAAATATGGTGTGCGAGCACAGCCCGCAAACCGGGCTCCGCTACGAGTGGTAGAGAGGCACGATGCGGGACACGGGCGAGCGGCACACGGGGCAGCACACGGGGCGTGGCAGCACGCGGTAGCACGGCAAGCAGCAGCACACGTGGCCGCAGTCCAGGAGCACACAGCCGCGCGGCGCGCTCAGGCACACCACGCACGGCAGCCGCCCGCCCTCTTCCGTCCCACCCGCCCCGTCTTCGGGGGCCAACTGGGCCGCCTCGGCCTCCTGCTCGCGTCTCAGCTTGTCCCAGCGCCTCTCTTCCCGTGCTGTGGGAGGCGGCAACACAAGGAGGTAGCGATGTGAGATGAAACAACGGAGAACTCTGGCATGGTGATGATGCATCCACTTTGCGTGTACGGTGCACTGTAAGCCACTCAAGTCAGCCTATATAGACATTAACCTGTGTATAGCCCTACCTTTAACCCGCACCTCATACCCTTAATCAAAATTACCATTATATTAATCCCTTATACCTAAATCATTACTCACCACATCTCTAATTTTTCCATAATTGATGGTAAATTAATAAATACCACAGTTGTTCAATCTTAATGCCTCCAATTACACCGTGATCATGACAGGTATGTCCTGTGCTAAACGAGGCAAGGCTTTGCCAGTTGGTGGATGGGCAGCCACTGAGAATCATTAAGAACCATGTTGAAGAGTGGCGTTTGATGTCCATTAGTGGGCCCACGTCTTGTCGCCGGTAACACAAGTTTCTCATCGGAGTTTTTTCCGCCATTGTTTGCTTGGACATTTTATGCCCTCTGCTGGATTCATTTTTCACTGGTTGCAAGTTTGTGCGTGAGAATTTGCTAATGCTCGAGTTTACAAGAGGACGCTAGACAGCAGGTTGGCATGTAATTATTGATTACATAAATCGTTATGCTCACATTAATGCATGTTTCAGATTCCAAAGAACACAGGATGAGATGTTACTATCCTTTGTGCAAGCACTTCCAAGAGTTCATGAACAGTGAGCCTGGTGAAATTTGGGGAGCGCATCGTCAGTAGTGACCCTTTGGTTCCTAGGGTGTTTCGGCCTTTCATACTATACACCCTCCCCAAAGGCGGCCAGCGACAGGGTGATCAATCCTACGCTTGCGTCCCATTCCCAATTAGTCATAGGAGTTGCCTTGTTGTTGGTAGCCAACATCCCATGGGACTATGCATGGCAGGGGCGTCCTCCTCCCTGAGTCAAGCATTGTTGACTGCATACCTCCTGGCCCTCTCACTTTGGGGCCCAGCTGGGGTCTTTCCTCTTCATCCAGAGCCACTGACTGCTGCCTTCTGCCGCCTCCGATACAGCTTTGATTGCCGAACGCTGGCTCTGGCCCTTAATTCCCAGGTCTCTAAGCAGTCTGGTTGTAGATGTTGCCACAAAACCTCTGCAGCCCACCTCCACTGGTCGGACTTCTGTGTTCCAACCATGATGCCGTGCTTCGGCAGCTAGATCGGCATAGCGCAGATGTTTTCGCTCATAAGCCTCATCTACTGAGTCCTCCCAGGGTACTGTGAGCTCAATGATGAAGACCTTCTTGAGCGAACGGGACCAGAGCACCACGTCAGGTCTTAGGGTGGTGGTTGCGATCTCCGGAGGAAACACAAGTTGCCGTCCAATGTCAGCTAGCATTTTCCAGTCGCGGGCCAAGCGCAGCTGGTCTCGCTCTATTGGTGTAGAGCCGCTCTTCGGTGGTTTAGCCCCTTCGCGGACAAAGGTCGTCCGTAAGGGGTGTGATGCTGCTGGGGGTGGTAGGGAGTTGGTGGCAGCTCGCTTGTCCTCCAGGGCGGACGCAAGGTTTTTAAGGACTTGGTTGTGACGCCAAGTGTAGCGTCCTTGGGTGAGGCTTGTTTTACACCCTGTGAGAATGTGCCTGAGGTTGGCTGGCATGGAACAGAGGGCACAGTCCGGATCTTCACCATACCATTGGTGAAGATTAACTGGTGTTGGAAGGATGTCATATGTTGCTCTGATGGAGAAGCTCAACCGCCTCGCTTCCGTGGCCCACAGATCCTTCCAGCTGATCTTCCTCTTCTCCACACTGTCCCATCGAGTCCACTGTCCTTGTTTGGCATTAATCCCTTATACCTAAATCCTGACTCACCACATCTCTAATTTTTCCATAATTGATGGTAAATTAATAAATACCACAGTTGTTCAATCTTAATGCCTCCAATTACACCCTGATCATGACAGGTATGTCCTGTGCTAAACGAGGCAAGGCTTTGCCAGTTGGTGGATGGGCAGCCACTGAGAATCATTAAGAACCATGTTGAAGAGTGGCGTTTGATGTCCATTAGTGGGCCCACGTCTTGTCGCCGGTAACACAAGTTTCTCATCGGAGTTTTTTCCGCCATTGTTTGCTTGGACATTTTATGCCCTCTGCTGGATTCATTTTTCACTGGTTGCAAGTTTGTGCGTGAGAATTTCCTAATGCTCGAGTTTACAAGAGGACGCTAGACAGCAGGTTGGCATGTAATTATTGATTACATAAATCGTTATGCTCACATTAATGCATGTAATTGCTTGTGCAAGAATATGTCAAAGACTGATCATTTCCATCTGGAATTATTAAGACCATCGTTAACAAACACTCTGACCACCACATCACCTGGAATGCATCCAATCTCATAAGATTCTCATACAATGAGCACAGTTGAGCCAGCAGAGTGATTTTAAGGTTGACCTCTGAGGCTTGCAGCTGTATCATTTTTCACGATCGTAGCATTGTAAAGTAGATGTCGTAGGGATAAGACTGTGCTGTATATTTGGAGTTTGTGGGTCGCTATCCGCATGGTTGCGTGGATTTTTTTCCGGGTCCTCCTGTTTTTCCCTCCACATTTAGAAACATGCGTTTAGACTAATTTGGCTACAGTAATTTCCACGTGATAAGCCACTTCGTTGAGCTAATTTGTGGCCAGGTCGCTTCTGAAAAATAGCTATATAGCTCAGTGAGCCTTACCTGCTAAAATAAACAATAGTTTTAGTTTCAGTGTGTTTAGTCACGTGGTAATGTATCATTGTGGTTGTAAGGTTATGCATTGCCACAGTGCGGGCACTACCTCGGCGGTAGATCCTGCGCAGGACCCAGAGGGCGAGTGCCAGGGTGAGCAGCGTGCAGGTGACCGCCCCGAACCTCCACATGCCCGTGCTCCAGCGACGCTGCTCCACCAGGGCCCGCAGGCCGCCCGCCGCCGTGCTCAGCAGGTAGGCGGCACCGTCCCGCGGAGGGCGCACCTCAGGGGCCCCATGCTCACCCAGCGCCACCTCCCCCACAGCCGTCAGAGTTGCTCCCACGCGTAGCAGGCGCTCAACCTGGCGCACGCGCGCACACGCACGCACAAACATACACACAAAGAAAACGATTCCCCGTATCGCCTTAACATACTTGTCATGTTAGCGACCACCTATGAAGGCCGGCACGGTACACGAGGGGGTGGGTGACCAGTACCACGCATGGCTACCTTTGTCTCCCTAATCGCTATGTTTACACACAGCACCAGGTACCCATTTGAGGCTTAGTCGACCTAGGAGAGGCCCAGGACCGTTTCAGATAACCGTCACTGGTGTTGGGCGTGAATAGGAAGCAAACTCGGTTTGCTTGGTTCATAGCACAGCACGCTAATTGCTAGGGTCACCCCACACAAACATGCATACATACAAGCACATTTGCATGCACTCACACAGTGACAAACAAGACAAAAATGCTGTTACCTTCCAGCACACTGACATCACAAAGAATGAACCTCTGCCCCTGGCCCTGCTTGGCCACAAGCTAGATTCGGATGTCTTGTGAGGGCAATGTATCATGGTTTGTTTCTGGGTAGGCTCGGCAAATCGCGAACGGAAAACAACCCTGAGATAGGCTCGGCTATGTGTAATAAAATTAGTGTCAACAATAGATGGAGGCGGCGGTGAGGACGATGGCTGTGGGATGAGATCGAGCGACCTGCAGCACCCCGCGGGGCCGCTCCCCGCTGAGAAGCCCCAGCAGCTCGCCCCACGTTCCCGTCGACGGCTGAAAGGACTCGGCCACGGGCTCCAGCGAGAGGCCGCTCGCCTCCTGGGGACTCCGCACACGCACGCTGGCCGCCCGTGGTCCCGTGCCCTCCAGGACAAATGGCACCATGTCTGTCCGCGTGTGGATCACATGCTCCGTGTTGTTCCTGCATCAGGGTGTGCATTGCGTGATGGAGGACACAGATGGGAATAGCGATGCTTAATTAGAAAGAAAACTATATATATATAAAAAAAGATATAAACTAGAAATTTGGCAATATTAAGGATGTAACGATTCACGTCTCAGGCAATTTGAATGTTCTTTTTATGATTCCGGGTCGCAATTTGATTAAAGAATCACGTATTTTTTGTTTCACTCGGACTGGCGTGCTTGCTGCAATGTGTCACGCTCTTCAAGTTCGATCCGTTGGTGTAAATGTAAAATTGCATTATTTGTAAAATATTATTATTACATTCATCAACTGATGCCTCAGTGTTTTGGGGGCCCCTGAGTGTAGTTTGGGTCAGGTGCCTCGAGGGGCAGAGGGAGTTCTTCCACAATTCTTCACACGACGTCCCAGGATCTACAGAAAGTGTGGAGGGACCTGTGTCTCCTGGGACACGTGTGGGCTTTTATTTCAGAATTTTCTCCCAAAGTTTGATGTACTATCAACTGTTGCACAATTTGGTAGTTGGATGCAACTCACTCTTGTATTGGTCCAGTCACTTGGTCATTTGCTTGGAAGTGTATGTTTGCCTCTCCCATCTCATTCCTAGCCATCATAGCACATTCCTTTGTAGTGTAGCGGGGTGGTGATTTTCTTTTACATGTCACACCTACGTAATACATATTTGATTAGAATTCACGTTAATTCGAATATAAGCTTTACACACGTGCACCGATTGTGTCATTGCATGTCATATTTCATTTCTATCAATCCGTTACATGTGTTCAGCTGTACGACAATAAATTTGGATCTGCTGGCTCTACTCTGTTGTTTCACCTTATTTGCTTGTGTGGCTTTTATCGATTTAGTAAATGTCAGATATGGAAAACCACTCGATATATTTTTGTTTAAACATCCAAAGGACTGCATTGCCCTTCTTATGCTCTGATGAGACCTGCCGAGTGCATCAGGATACCATTGGAACCTCATTTACCAGCAGAAAAAATATGATAATTGTTTTTTTACCCTTTTATCTGGCATCAAAACTGACACCTTTTTTACTATCCTGCATCAGGAAAGTTACCAGTGGTGGGTGAGGCTGCTCCAGACGAGCTTCCGCTCCTTGAACTCCACCTGCTGCATGACGCCCAGCACGTCGGGCCGCAGCTGGCTCTGTAGGTGCTCCTTAATGGGGCGCACCGTCCCTGTGGAGTGGAACGGGCATCCCCGGGAAGCGATCCCCCACCCCACCTTTATTTATGTCGGCTGAATTGTGCATTAAAGTCATCATCATGCATGCGACTGTAAACCTGCTAGCCTACAAGCTAACCAGGATGTATGTACGTTGAACTACTTTCGCGTCGTACGTAGCCAACCGTGCTAAAACCGTTGGTGCGAAGGATGTGGCAGTACAGCAAGTGGGTTTCTGACCTGTCTGGGTATGCGTTTGAGAAGCATTCGCTTACATGAGGTGGGGGGGTTTCTCTCGGATATTTATTTTCCTCTCGCATGCAAAATATCCATTCTGAAAGGAATCAACCATCTTAAAGCATCAATTGGCTGCCAAAATCCTGAAACACATTGAGACTGTGTTGGATTTACAAAAGACTATAATAAAGGACCCACGACGATCTGTGCATTACTACAATTAACCAAAGCTCCAAGTTACCTGGCAAAGGAACAGTTGAGGTAGTGATTATAACTAGCCACTAGGGGGCAATGGTAATCGCGATACAGTAATGTACAGGGTGTTTCAAAGAGATGGACCCAATTTCAAAGCAGTATATTTCACGATGGCAACATGTTACAATTACACAAAAAGTTACAAACGGTTAAATGAGTTATTAAGTTTTACTAACCATTTTATAAATGCTCTATGTGCCCTCCACCTGCTGTATGGACAACATCGAGACGATCGTTTAATTAGTCCCAAACGCCTCTCAAAGTGTCTTCTTCCACTGAAATCACCACTGCCGTGATTCTGTTTTTGAGGTCATCCAGATTAGTCACTAATGGTGGCATAAAAACACGGTCTTTTGTGCCACCATGCTCTTTGACATTGGCGGAACAATGCCAAAACACAGTTTAAACGCACGCTGCATCGCAACGCAATAACGAATTCAGTCTTGCTGAACTGCAGAACACAAAACGCCTTGTGTTGTGGGGTCGCCATCTTGCGAATGACTGAGGCTAGGGGCTGTTTGTGCGCTGGGAGAGGCATCTAGCTGTAATCATTTGAAACTCTATGCCCCGCCCTTTCAAGTGGTAAGAGTTTCATTCATGGGCGGTTCGTGGTTGCAGAGATATAGCGATTTCAAATCGAGTCTATTTTTTGAAACACCCTGTATTCTGCATTAATGTTGACAATCCCATAGTTCAACAACACATAACTACTCCTAAGCACAATCCTGACTATATATCTATGAAGGGGATTGGGGGTTTGCATCCTGGATGGGTAGGGGTGTGTGGTGATGTGTGTGTATGAACCGTTTTTTTTTCTTCGCCAGTTGGAAACATTTAGGCTGGCCTGCCTACGATCCATCCTGGGTTTAACCAGGCTGGATTGTGTGAGAAGCTCACAAATCCTTGAAAGATCTGGGCAAAGTCCCATCGGTGAGCTCCTCCGGCAGGCAAAGGCTGCGTTTGCTGGGTCATGTAGCCCGTATGCCCAGCCACCGCATGCCTAAACAGATTTTGTTCGGCCGGATCGAAGGGGGCTAAACGGGCGCGGCACGGGCTAGAGAAGAGATGGAGTGATGTAGTACAGGAGGACGTGGAGCTGAGTGGACTTGCCGATGACTGGTACCAGCGGTGTCAAGATCGGCCTCTGTGGAGGAGGCTCGTAAAGGACGCTGCTGGGCAGTTGGAGGCAGTTGCCCTCCAACAACAACGGAGGGTGGAGGAGCGACGCTCACAACAACGAGCAGAGCGCCGGGTGGCTAAAGCACAGCAAGTTGGTACAGTAAGGGGCACAGGTGGTGCATCAGCCAGTCATCTCGGTCATCTCGGTCAGTGGACCCGTGGCACCTGCTGGGTCTGCCCCGTGACCTCCTGCCAGCGGGCGTTCGACACTTCACGTGGTCTCAAGGTGCACTTGGCCCTGGCACAAGCGTCGTGGCTGACGTCACCGCCACTTAGTGGCGAATGGCGGTTGTTGTTGTTGTATGAACCGTCATGGGAAACAATGTTGCAGTGATTCGCACACTTAGCTATGAACCCAGTGATCAAAACCTATATTGGACCTTCTCTAAGTCGACTCAACTTCATATTAGCATCAGGTAAAGCTTGTGAACATTGGCACTATGGAGACAAATGTGGCTGGGCATGATGCTGACCACACCTCCTTGTAAGCTGTGCTGGCCTTAACATGGACTGACACAGCAATTGTCCCAACAGCCTCTACGACTGTAGAGGGGATCTCTGTAATGTGTTTGCACAATTGTACCTTCCAACACCACATATGGTAAGTAGCCCCCAGGTGCCTCCTTCAGCCTGCCTATGAGACCATCGTCCAGGGGAATCTGTGAAGTTTCCTGTGAATCACACGAAGAACACCAGAGACTTTCAGTCATGATGAAAATTAACTGAAATTACCCCTCAACAACAACTGATTCTGTGAAAAGAAACGCACCTATAGCCTTGGCACTCTGAAAGCAGGGTTGGTGGCTCATGCAAGCAATCAAGTGCATGAGAGCGAAACAGCAGCCCGTAGAGAGCAGTGCAGAAGGCACATTGTATCCCCACCCCCCGACTCCCGATATCCGCCACTGATGAATCGGATGGGATTAAAATGTGAATTCAAATCTTTCTATTTTTTAATTGTGGGCCAATTACTAAAATGTATTAATATTTAACAAAACTCCGAGAGTGCGCAGCAAATGGTAATTCTCTTCCCAAGGGCAGTTGTATCAATCTCCCTCTAATCCCATCCCACTCTCTTTATCTCATAACATCACACCCCATGCTACAGGTCTTGAACCATAAGAGTATTTGAAATGATGTATCTTTCCCTTCCTCAACACCATCACCGCATAGAGATCAACATCCATTCCCAGAACAAAATTTGTAAGTATATGAACTGTAAATGTAACTGTTTTGTTATAGTTCGTTGCCTCAAAGCCAGCGGACCTGCAGCTTGCTCAGAGCTGCACTCTTCCTGCGAGCGACGCTCCAGGAGATGAAGCTCACGGCCACACCAACGCCCAGGAACACCAGCTCCCGCGTACTGGGCCCATCCGGCCCCAACATCGCTCCCAGCAGCGTTGTCATCTTTTCTTTTCGCACACAACCAAAGTGAATACAATTACATCATTGCCCCCAACATCAACCATGAGTACCACACGGTAATTACTGAACACCTATTACACTAACCTCAACCACACTATAAGACCAAACACACAGCAAATGCACTAACCTCAACCACAATATTACATTAACCATACTAATTATCAGAGGTGGGACAAAGTCATTGTTATGCAAGTCCAAGTCGAGTCTGAAGTCATCAAATTCATGACTCGAGTCTGACTCGAGTCCAAGTCACATGACTCGAGTCCACATCTCAGAGGTGGGACAAAGTCATTGTTATGCAAGTCCAAGTCGAGTCTGAAGTCATCAAATTCATGACTCGAGTCTGACTCGAGTCCAAGTCACATGACTCGAGTCCACACCTCTGCTAATTATACACTCACCCGAAATAAACTATCACTCGCAACCACTCTCTTAATTACTACACACCTCCACTTCCAATCAACTAGAACACCAACCACCAAATAACCACTCCACCAAACCACAAGCTATCACGTTAACCCAATTAACCAGAGCACAGATAGCCACACGAACCACGTAAACCATATTCGTATCTACACCAGCAATAACAACACCATACCAACTAGACACCACTAAATGAACCACACTACTACACACCATCCATTACTCCACGATACAACCTTTATGAAATCACACACCAATAATACACACCTACGGCCCTAACCACCGCATCAACCACCATGCTGACCACTACCGACACGAGCACAAACTATAACATTAATCCAACCTTACCAAATCATTTTTGTGTGTCACGCTGCGGTTATCTGACCTTAATTCTCTATGCCGGTCAGTGCGGGTTTGTTGATGGTTAGAAGCTGAGATGCAAGAGCTGACAAGGTAACATTCCAGGTTCAAAACCTGCTTAGCTTCCGATATCTGATGAGGCAGGGTGCATTCCGGGTTATTTGATCATAGGCGCCACACAACAACCTCACCAAACACCACAACAACACAATCTACAGTACAACCACATCACGCTACAATAGCTAATGGGCAACGGTGCTAATGGTTACCACCAAGCACAAGGAACCACAGTCCCAACTCACGCAGCCAAGTTGTAGTTTCACCCACAACAACCACCACACAAAGTACGGTGTCACCACTGGACCAACAGACATATCAAACATATATACAGGCAAGCTAATACCTTGTCAACCCCAATTCAGACCTTATTGGTAACCCCGTGCTCTTATAAATCTCAACATTAATCCTTCAAATAGCCATCATGAAACTGCTGTACGCCGTATGGACCTGAAACTCTATTTAAGAATAGGTGTAAACCATATGGTTTGACAGGTATGCAATCTACAGTACAACACCTAGCAGCATATATATAGTACAACAACAGCAGCCGCACCATGCACTGATGAAGTATAAAACACACTCGCCACCACAAATATTACAGTCCACTATCAAGCACGGCTCCAAGAACCGACAAAACCTCTATTCATGATACAGGTTGTTTGGGTTCGATCTAACCCAACACAACTCTGCATTATGGATATTGGACGCGAAAGCCGACGTGTTAAACCCACTACTCTTAATAACCACGCTCACCATGCTATTATTTAACCACACGGATCACGTACGAGATATACATGCGTGTATATATGTAGCCAGACGACAATACACTCAAACACAACCAATCTAAAGTGTACAAGAACATTAACAGGCGAAGCACACGACGATCAACCGCGCACAGCAAACAACTTCCCGCCACTGCACGTGGAGCCGGCGGCATGCAACCTTCATCTCACGCACGAACGTGAGATGAACGTCAGATGAACGTTTACAACCAACCACACCTGGACCGCGTCTGACAACGCCGAGCGACCGTGGACCCCCCCTCGCCGAGCCGGGTCTCTGCGGCCGCGGGTTTCACTCCCACGGAGTCCCGGGGTAGAGGGCCGAGGTGGTCGCTCTTCCGCCCGCAAAGCGGCGCGAACCCCGGCGGCGGAGGTCAGGAGAGGCCGAGGATGAGGCCCGCACCGCGGGAAGAAGAGACGAGCGAGAGAGAGATGACTTTGAACTTGATTACAAATTAAAGGTGCATTTTAAAATAAATAAATGCACGCACGCTCTAGCTTTAGGCAGGGTAGATTTGATGGGTTTTTTTTAATATATATTTTTTATCTTGGAAGGAAATCGAGAGATTCACTTCTGTGTGCGACTCGACGGGGTCGGGGGTGGGGGGGCTGAGTCCCACCCAGGGGGAGGCGCTGGTCGCGCGCGCGGTTTAAGTTTAAAGTTAAACCCCACCGCGTTTGAAGTTTAAACGCATCGCGTTTAAACTTCAAACGCAATGCGTTTAAAGTTTAAACCCACCACGTTTAAAGTTTAAACCCAATGCGTTTGAAGTTTAAACCCACCACGTTTAAAGTTTAAACCCAATGCGTTTGAAGTTTAAACCCACCACGTTTAAAGTTTAAACCCAATGCGTTTGAAGTTTAAACCCACCACGTTTGAAGTTTAAACGCAATGCGTTTGAAGTTTAAACCCACCACGTTTAAAGTTTAAACGCAATGCGTTTGTAGTTTAAACCCTCCACGTTTAAAGTTTAAACCCAATGCGTTTGAAGTTTAAACCCACCACGTTTAAACTTCAAACGCAATGCGTTTGAAGTTTAAACCCACCACGTTTAAAGTGTAAACCCAATGGGTTTGAAGTTTAAACCCACCACGTTTAAAGTTTAAACCCAATGCGTTTGAAGTTTAAACCCAATGCGTTTGAAGTTTAAACTCAATGCGTTTGAAGTTTAAACCCACCGCGTTTGAAGTTTAAACCCAATGCGTTTAAAATTGAACCCCACCGCGTTTAAAGTTTAAACCCACCACGTTTAAAGTTTAAACCCAGTGCGTTTAAAGTTTAAACCCCACCGTGTTTAAAGTTTAAGCCCACCACGTTTAAAGTTTAAGCCCACCGCGTTTAAAGTTTAAACCCCACCGTGTTTAAAGTTTAAGCCCACCACGTTTAAAGTTTAAACCCACCACGTTTAAAGTTTAACCCCACCGTGTTTAAAGTTTAAGCCCACCGCGTTTAAAGTTTAAACCCAGTGCGTTTAAAATTGAACCCCACCGCGTTTAAAGTTTAAACCCACCACGTTTAAAGTTTAACCCCACCGCGTTTAAAGTTTAAGCCCACCGCGTTTAAAGTTTAAACCCAATGCGTTTAAAGTTTAAACCCAGTGCGTTTAAAATTGAACCCCACCGCGTTTAAAGTTTAAACCCACCACGTTTAAAGTTTAACCCCACCGCGTTTAAAGTTTAAGCCCACCGCGTTTAAAGTTTAAACCCAATGCGTTTAAAGTTTAAACCCAGTGCGTTTAAAGTTTAAACCTACCGCGTTTACCCGGCGCGTTCTGAGATAAACCCCCCGTTATTGTAAGAGCAACCGTTGCGTTTCGCAAAGCTGTCAGTGGCCCTACTTATTACAGATCAATTCAGACCTTATTGGTCACCCAGTGCCCTTATATGTCTCCCAGTGCCCTTATACAGCTCAACGTTCATCCTGCAAATTCCCATCACAAGGGAGAAACACAAACAAATTGACAATCACCACCACTACACTCACCACTAGTACACTCACCACTACACTCACCACTAGTACACTCACCACGACACTCACCACTAGTACACTCACCACTACTACACTCACCACTAGTACACTCACCACCACACTCACCACTAGTACACTCACCACTACACTCACCACTAGTACACTCACCACTATTACACACACTCACCATTAGTACACACACTCACCACTAGTACACTCACCACTAGTACACTCACCACTAGTACACTCACCACTACTACACTCACCACTAGTACACTCACCACTATTACACTCACCACTAGTACACTCACCACTACACTCACCACTACACTCACCACTAGTACACTCACCACTATTACACACACTCACCACTAGTACACACACTCACCACTACACTCACCACTACACTCACCACTAGTACACTCACCACTATTACACTCACAACTACTACACTCACCACTAGTACACTCACCACTACACTCACCACGAGTACACTCACCACTAGTACACTCACCACTATTACACTCACCACTAGTACACACACTCACCACTACACTCACCACTACACTCACCACTAGTATACTCACCACTATTACACTCACCACCAGTACACTCACCACTAATACACTCACCACTGCTACATTCACCACTACTACACTCACCACTAGTACACTCACCACTACATACCTGTCAACCCCTTATCAGTGCCCTACCTTATTACAGACCAATTCAGACCTTTTTGATCACCCAGTGCCCTTGTAAATCTCAACGTTCATCCTACAAAGTCCCATCACAAGGGAGAAACACAAACAAATAGACAAAAAAATTGTTTTGCCCGTATCAAAACGGCTATATGCCGTATGGACCTGAAATCTCAATTTTCCTGTACAAGAATAAGGGTAAATCGTATTGTGTGTCTCTCTCTGCATGTGTGTCTGTCTATGCTGTCCCCGTGTCTGTATTATATCATTCATTCTTACCTGATGATGGTTGCTTGTGTTGCAACCGAAACGTCGTATTCTCATATTATTTGATTTTATTTTCTACGTGACTTTACCGAAAGAACCAAAGAGTAAATCGTATGAGTTGACCTATGGTTTCGTCACAGGGAAGAGACGACCCCGCTGTTACTTTTAGTTGCCAAAAACTGCGGCTATTTATATTTTAATCCTTGTTAAGGCCACAGTGTTATTGCCGAATATGTGTTTTTGTTGTGGTGAATGTTATGTTGGGCAAACAGGACGAATGATCAGCACGAGACTAAAAGATCAGAGAAATATTAAATTCTCGCAAATACAACTGTCAACAGTTGCAGAACACGCGTGCCAACAAGGAAACTCAATTGATTTTGATAATGTTAAAGGTCTGTGCAAAACTAGCTACTACTGGCCAAGACCAATTAGAAAATCTATCGAAATTTAAAGAAATGAAAATAACTTTAACCGTTCGGATAGCTACCTCCTTAGTGCTGCGTGGAAGCGAATCATCAAATAATACATTATTTAAATGCATGCTTACAAATGGAAGCTTACTTCAATAGGGATCATCGTTGGTACGCTATTTTAATACACACAATAGACAGGAAGGACAAGTTTAAAGGGCTCGCATAATGCACATGTTGACTCAGTAAACCCCCCCCCCCCCCCCATGTGGCACAAGAGCGCAGCTGCGTGATCACCACATCTACGCCTCTATATAAGGAACGAAACAGTTAGACTTCTTCACGAATCTGGCTGTCGCCTGATGAAGCTAGTTGTAATTCCTGGCGAAACGGCGTACTCACTGACGGAGCCAGTGGGGGGTAGGGGTGGCACGTGCCCCCCCCCCCCCTCAATGGTTCGGTCAAAATCCCTCATTTCGATGGAATCATTGGGGTTTATTAGTAATAAATCGCCATTTTGCGACCCCCACTGCCACTGTGTAGCATGTTATTATGTGCCAGGGACTCTATGAGATGATATGACAATAGTCTGAGTCCATAATTGGAATTGTTGGCAATAAGTAACGGCAAAGCAGTTATAAGTGACTCACAGAATCGGTCGCAGTTGCGTATACAGTACACACGACTTCCCTGAAGGCAAACACATTCAGGGACGTCGTGTATGCCGATCACACAACGCAGTTCGAATTCGACCCTCGATCGATGGCTGCACCATCGCCGCACACGCATCGAATTAAAAGCAAGGGACAAGTCCTTACTTAGGAACTACTCTATCATTTTTCATTGCTGGAGGGGTTGCCCCCCCCTACCTGAAAATCCTGGCTCCGCCATTGGTACTCGTACTCACATTGCAAATGTTGTGGCTTGGCTCTCCAACACACCGGTGTGCCGTACTGGTGACGAATTGGCATGTTCTATTTACGTGACAACCCTTACTAGTTGGCTGTGTCGGGTGGTGGCGGGTTTTAACAACACATGTATATATTTACGCGATCTAACCCAAAAAACTATTATTGACATATTTGTGTTGCTATTACTGTGCTCACGCACAATGAGATCTACCTTGTAAAATACCCGGGAAACTGGCTAAACTGGATAATCCGTGTAACAAATACACCTAAACACACGTAGATAACTAAACAAACGCAAAGCAGTGTTCATATTTACTGTGAAAAAAGGAAGTTCCTCTTGCAGTATGATGGTGATGGACCGTCTGGAATGCCTTTAGAATGCTTCAAACTCGAAGCACGCATGTAGTTTCTGACTGCAACATCAACTTTATTAATGTATTGATAATTAAATCATTTATAGGTTTTGTCAATTCACTGCTGGATGAAGGACTCCCCACGCAGTGTCGGTGATGGAGGTTGAGCATACTTCACCATACTGTTCAGTGCGCGTTGATGGTGGGTGCCAAAGCCGTTTCAGCTATCATTTGCCACTGATGTTAGCCGTGGATGGACATCGCCGCAGGCTGCCGGGTCGATACTGTACTCATCTCCTGCACTGGTCTAGAGAGTGTAAGGTGGAAATTACACATTTATATGGCCGGGACGTGTCTGACCCTACGAGACAACCATCGACAGCTTCACACAACGTGGAAGTCTTTTATAATTGACCGCGGTGGAGATGATGGGCCACATTGAACCACCTGACCTGGATTTGAACTCGCAAACCCTTCTGCCCCCCCCCCTTCACGTGTCAACCGCATTCACACCCCGTCTGCAGAAAGAGAGAGGAGAGACTCACGCCGGCAGGGACACAAAACAACACAACGACCAAAACACGCGGACGAATATAAAATGTGATTGGCTCAGACGAGACGGGGACACCGAGACGAGGCCAGCAGCGACTCGACCAGCAGAGGCACCGGCTCGGGTACCCCAGAGAGCTGCTAACGGGGCTGCGCTCCAGCGCCCACGCAGAAGGTCAGCGGCGAAACTTGATCCGCACACGTGCTCAGACTGTCCTGTCCTGCGCTTTAATAAGCACCGCGGTGACGTCATGACAGCTCACCCATCAGCCACACTTCAACACTCTCTCAATCCACCCCCACCTTCCCTGCCCCCCATACCGGCCCCTTCTATCACCCCAGCATTCGGACCCAGATACTGGCTCCAGCTCCTCTCGGATGGTGGAGCCAGTAAGTGATGTTTGTTGTTGTTGTTGTATGTGGGGCACCATAACAAGGTGGTTCATCACGAAGGAGAGTCAACTTTGGTGGGACAAAAGGACATTTGGTGGTGTAGTGTCCATCCCAGTAACCCCCCTAGCGCCGGGCCCCATTGTATGTATGTTGAACTTCTTTTGCGCCGTACGTAACCAAACGTGCTAATCGGAGGTGCGGGGGAAGGACAAAAACTAAACAAAAAACAGCAGTTTTAACGAAATGATTTTCAAATCTAGATGTAAAAGTGCACAGCTCCAGTGGCTTCCGAATATCGGAAGGAAGAGCGTTCCAGACGGCCGTAGAAGCACATCTGAAAGCACGCGATGCAGTGGCTGTCTTTGTTCGATGGTTATCCAAAACCCGGTGTGAGGATGACTGGAGTCTGCGTGATGGTTTATGCTCCTGACGAGATCAGCAAGGTATTGTGGTTCATTTGTGGCAAACACTTTGTATGCAATGCTGCGAGTCTGACTTGGTTCTCAAATATAAGTAGGGAATAAAGTAAGGCCTATTGTAAACCCCTCTATTCATCCACTGCTGCATGAAGACCTCGCCACGTTACGTCGATCATGGAGATTTAAAAAAAATATATTTCACGCTGGTCAGTGTGGGTTGGTGAAGGGAGGGTGGAGTGGGCTCAGGGCCGGTTGAAATATAACTCGCCACTGATTTTTGTTTGCACACAGCCCCGTGGCAAAGTACGGTCCAGCGACCCCCATTACCGCGACGGTGTGGGGAGGTCGTTATCCAGCGGTGGATTAATGGTCTGTAAATTAGTAGTACATATATATCCTGGATTTAAGTGCATGTATCTTTAATGACTGCAACATATTTATAATTCATATCGAATTCCTAAACGTTCGTACTGATATCCAGTAGTGTAAAACAGAAATCGGTACTTATTGGAGGAACAATTGGAGATTGAAATCTCAGTGGCTATGCTCGCTCGCTCCTGAGTCAGTACTAAGTCAAGTGACACAGTTCGATTCCAGCAACAGCCACCTTGCCTGTGGTGTGCTGATATCAACAAACCACTATAGTTACATTAAAACGTGTCATTGTCATTCTGCGTAAAAGTCGAGAACCAAAGGTAGTATAAGAATGAGCAAAATATGAACACTGAGAAAAATCTGTACTTTTGTAAAAATTCCAGTGTTTTTTTTAAAGGGCGTGACCTGATCTGCAGAGCGCGAAAAATAAGTCTTATCGCGTGATTTGTTGCCTGTGATTGCTCGCTAGAAACTCCTATTGACGGATATCTAAATTAAAATATCATACTCCTACGGAATCATTATACTCATACGGTCATAATTAATACAATTAATTATGTTGGTGATGCTGCGTTATTGAAGGCTTTTTTCTTTTACTCAGATACAATTTGGTAACTATTCAGGACAATCTAAAAAAAATTGTTCTTAAGTGCAACCCTTACGTACTGTCTCTCTGGCCCCTTTTTATTATTCCGCACCTCTGATTAGCATGGTTGTCTATGTACGGTGCGAAAGAAGTTCAACATATATACATTTATGTGCTATGAAGGACCATTGCCTGAAACGTTACATATTTGTTTTCCCTTTAGGTTATTGACGGATGTTGAGTTTTTTGTAATTTAATAAACGTGGATTTTCATGATCATCATCATCCTACACCTCTTGATGTTTTGAAAAACGTCCGTCCATCATTCTGTTTTTAACCTGACCATGGTGGTGAGAAGTCGCCAAAAGCCATCATCAACCATGGTCAATCCACTGCTGGATCAAGGCCCCCCAAGCCACCATCTATCTTCCACGATCATGTGTTGTAATAATCCACCTGGCACCTGCACAGGACATGATTTTATCGCTCAATCTCCTCGGAATACGTCCTCTGGCATGCATGCCAAAGAACACCGCCGATACATAATTACAGAACAAGGCATGACTGCTGAAACATGGATGCTAAAAACACTGTTACGTTATCTTTTTTCCCAACGTGTAAAACCGCCTAAGGCTACATTTAAACGAGGAAGAAAATCAAGAAGATCATGCATATGCATGGGTTCCGACATGCTTTCCAACATGTGTTTGTCCTCGTATTTAGCAATAAACGCAGTACCATGTCGCACAAATCAGTGGTGATGCCATCAGCGAAGCAATCCCGTTATTTTGTGGGGATTTAATGGGATCAAGAGATGAAATGTTAAATACCATAGGAACCTATTCAATATCATCATTGTTTCAGTCCGAGTGGAAGGCAATGGAATTTGCTTGCCAGTCGTCATTACATACCTCTCGCATATAATTAATGCAGTACTGTACGATATTAATAATAGGCGGAATCTGCCGTGGTGTAAGTGGTTGGCAGCACACTGCATTTCCAAGCCAGAGGTCGATCTCCCAGCGCGGCAGTTGAAACAAAGTGCACGTTTCTTCGTTCCGCCACTGTCCACCCCACAGTAAAAATACATGGGCGCAGCACAGTTTGTCGATCGGCAGATCGCGTGTGCTGGGGTAAAGTGGGGCTATTTCTGCCTCTTTCAATGCGTTTGGCCAGCGTGGACGAGTAGGCCAACGCTCCCTGGAGAGGGCCTCTCTAGAGGGCCTTCGCTGAACCTGAACTAAAACAAATGATCATAAATAAATAAAAACACAAACACGCTTCGCAACTTACGGACAGCACGAACATAATCATTCCTGTTGATGGAGCTTCACAGAACACGTACAGAGAGTGTGGTGGCAACCTTGGAATAGACCCTTACCCACCAGGGCACACCCCCCCCCCCCCCGGGCTAAAGGCGACTCTATTAATAAAAACCCCATTAATAATGACTCCGAGGGAAGCGAAACTCGATCCTGGGGTTGTTGCCACCCCCCTCCCCATGTGACAGAGAGAGACACATGGGGAGGGGCGTGGCAAGAGGAGGAGGAAGAGGTGGTGGTCACTTTACCCCCCACACCGCCCAGCCTTTATAAACGTGCCGAGACCCTTGATCTGATTGTTGCTGTTTCGACCGAACGACTGGGCAAGGGCCACAGAGAGAAGGACAGGTAACTGGCAATTAATATTCACACTGCGGTCGGCTCACACGCACAGCATAGCTCACGGCATAATGTACAGCACACGGAACGTGTTCATGTTGTGTACGACCATGTACAGGACGGGAAATGTGTATGGGGCGTGAATGTATTATAGTATGGCATCAGCGGCAGTGGCAATACGTGTGACTCACAGCTTTGTAATGAGAAATGTATCCTTTGGGCTTGGTGTGGCTTTCTTAAGATGTCGGGGGGGGGGGGGGGTAATCATTGGTATATTTACAATAAACATCTACACACATTTATAGAGTGCACGCATAGAACACAAGATAGCCCCGAATAGCTTTAACATACTTTTGGGGCAAGTGCTGTTAGCGAGCGCCTCTGAAAGGCCAGCACGACACACAAGGCGGTGGGGTGGCCAGCACTACGCCCGACCGCCTTTGTCTCCCGAGTGGCGATGCTTACGCACCGCACCAGGTACTTATTTGAGGCTGAGTCAACCTAGCGGATGCTCAGGGCCGGTTCAAATAATCGCGACTGGTGTTGGTGGCTGTTGGTGGCTGTGAGTGGAAATCGAACTGTGGTGGCTGCTTTCATTCGTGGACCGCCACACTACCGCTACTCCAAGAGTACATGCCCACATTCTGCCATTACCCTAATATACATTCACAGTGACATATCTCTCCACATTACGTTTGCTGTATAGCGACATATAGATGCAGGACTTTAAGTTACTATGCATTCAGTACATGTTTGCAAAAAAGTTACATACACATCGACATTACATGATTATAATACCAATCCTCTGTGAACGTAATGCCCTATACATTGACGATCACGCGTTCGCACGTGCAACGCTTAATCGTGATAACTGGGTTGATCGGAGTGGTTTTGACAGGGCACCCCCAGTGGAAACTGGCCCTGTGCAGCACAAGGTGATTCAGCACCTTGGCTGCCAGTAAGTAGGGGGTTGCCGACGGTTGCTGTGTATAGTCGTCCCAACTGAGTCATACTGAAACGTGTGACTCACACGTGTACATTCATTCAGTGCACGTAGACACGGGCGTACCAAGGTTCAGTATATACTGTAACGTATTTGCAAGGTGTTGTTTCCGTGATGCAATTGTTAGCACACTGGACTTGCAAATGAGAGGTGCAAATAATTGACCCATTTTTTGTATCTCCCCGCCCCTGGTCACTCAGCAATAAAGTCTGTTCTCCTATAACGCGTTAGTAGTTGCGTTTCTGAAGAACACCGCGTTATGGAAAAATCGCGTTCTAATATATATAGGCAAAGTGCAGTCCCCGATAACATGTGAGATGCGTATGCAGGCTGAACGTGGGTAGCATCTGGAAGCATCGATCAACAATCCGAGTTGTGTGATCTTACGGCCCACTCAATCGCGTTATATCCAGATCGCTTTATAAAAACACACGCGTTATAGGAGAACCGGCTGCAGCATATAAACAGTTACACCACACTACGTCGATTGGCAGGGCGCGTCGTTTGCGGTAAAGTTTGGGGAATCCCACTTCTTCCGAGACGTCTCTGGCCAAACGAGGAAGATTCGGCCAAAACTACTCGGGATAGAGGCGCGTTCTAGGGCCCCACTCTAGTAGAGACCCTTCTGCCAAAAGTTGCGTCGGAAAGCACTTTTAGCGCTGCACTTTTACCTTTGTATGAACCTTTGTACTGTCAATCACATAACCCCAAACAGAGGCTAAGATCCCCCGTATAGCCTTAACAGAATGTTGAGGGAAGTGGTGTGAGCGAGCACCTATGAAGGCCAGCACATCACACGAGGGGGTGGGTGGCCAGCACCACGCCCGACCACATTTGTCTCCGCAGTGGCGATGTTTACACCCCGTACCAGGTACTAATTTCAGGCTAAGTCGACCTAGGGAGGCCCAGGACCAGTTCAGATATTCGTCACTGATGTTCAAAGCGCAGCGCACTAACTGCTACACTACCGCTTCCCACAACCAGTACACACACACGCACACAAACAATATTTATAATGTTTGGATGGAAGTTTTTCAATTTCCTGGAAGGTAATGACCCGAATGATTATGTTTGTTACATTGCGTCCAAGCAATTATATATGATATGTATTTTAAAATAACGTGTAATCACATGTCATGTAGCTCGTGGCATTCTTCAAATGCAGTACACGTTTGAATTTAGTTGAGTGGCCAATACAAACCAATTTTAACAAACGTTTTAAACTCTGACCCATCCACAGGCTTTGCAATACAGTCTGGGCGCATGTATGATGTTTAACTGATTGTTATGTTCATAATCAGTGCAAAGTTGTGGCCGGTACGGTCTGGGAATGCTGCTCCGGGAATTATTTCAGCGTGCCACATTCATCTCGCCGTCTTTTGTCCTCATGATACTGCATCATATTTTTTGTCATAGGATTATTGCAATGCAGGGTACAATAATACGTATAGGATTCTTATAGATAAATGTACCTTGTACTCTAGTGGCATTGCCAGCTGACACCGATAAGCCCTGCTCCAAGCCAGCTTTGTAACGTTCTGGAAAATATTGAATGAGACATTAAGCCCCGATGATAATTTTCTGTCTGCGCATCTGGCGTCTTTATACTGTGTTAATGTTATTGCCATGATTATTTTTCCATCTGCAGTTGGCAAAACGAATTGATGCAGAGACCCAGGGCGAGAAGACTCCACCCCAAGTGCCGCAGGTTCCGGGGTCCAGAGATTCTGCCGTCATCCGCCTGAAAACCTAGGTCCCCCAGACCACAGATAATTCCAGAGAGATCAATCAACTCCGTCGCTCTACAAGGTCCGCTGATCACCAACTACTGTCCATTGATATCCTTCTTCCAACCAAAGTCCGCTGGCCCAATACCCTGCCAACCTCCACCTGCCACGCAGGACCCTCACACCTCCACTAGACAGAGCCTGCTGAGAGCCACCATCTAAGGCTCACTTACAGACCTACCGAACTTCCCCACCCACCCAAAACCCACCACACACCCAGGACCTGTCCGTTCCTCTCTCTTCCATCTCCCAGGCCCCCCACTTCTCACACCAGCCCTCCCAGCACTCCGCCTCCACCGCACCCCGCAGAGCAAGGCCGCGCCATGCAGGGCGACGCGATGGCTTTCGCGAGCCGTGTGCGCGAGTGGAGCCGTGCCGAGTGCTACCACGCCCAGTGCCGCCACTCGTCGCTCATTTTCTACCGCGCCGTGCGCGACCGCCGGCCGCCGTGGGCCCTGGAGGAGCTGCGCACGATGGGGGTGTTCCACTGGGAGCGGGGTCCGCATGCGTCACGTGCCGCCTACACCCCCAGCGAGGCGCTGCTCTATGCCATCGTTCACGACCACCGCGCCTACGCGCGACACCTCCTCGGTGACGGGCCCTGCCTCGCGGCGACGCAGGGTCAGCAGATGCTCAACTGGCAGGGAGATCTCGAGAACCAAGAGAGATCAATGGAACACCAGCAAGTAGCTTCGAATATTCAACAGGAGGCTCAAGACCAGGACTATCAAACCCACCAAAAGCTTCAGCAGAAGCTGAGCCCCCCTTCTGCCCTGGCCCCACCGGGCCCCGCGTTTGGCGCGTCACACCTGGCCACGGCTGTACGCTACGACCGCGTGGAGTTGCTGCTGTTGCTGCTGCGAGTGGCGCGTCGCTACTGCGACTCCTTTCGTCTCTCCGACTACGTGAACGCGGCCGAGGTGACGCCCACGTGGGGCCCTGGAGCCGGCAGGACCCCGCTGCACCTGGCGTGCCAGCTCGCCAAGTCCGAGTGCACGCGCATCCTTCTCGCGCACGGGGCGCGGGCCGATGTGGCGGACATGCAGGGTGAGTTTCCGCTGGACGCCCTGCTCGAGCCCCTGGAAGGTCCCCTGGGGTCGTCCAAGCGAGAGGGAAATGGGGGACCAGTTCCCCCTGGGTGTAGGGCTTGTCAAATTAATAATAACCATCACCAAATCCACACCCATCGTCGTAGTTCACTGACCAACCAGGACCTCCACCAGAGGGCCTCCCAGGTCCGGCACGAGACGGCCCACAGTGAACTTAACGAGAGGGTTGCCCGGAATCTCAATGAGCGGCCCTGCCAGGACCTCCACGAGTGGAACCGTGGCAACCTCAACGAGCGGGCTCACCAGGATCTCCACGACTGGGCCCCCCACGACGCCCTGGCACGTGCCCGCTGCCTGGAGCTGCTGCTCCTCTTCTCGCCGTCCGGGGGTCGCGGCCCCCCCAGCTCAGGGTCTGCGCGTGCCCTACTGGAACGCGCGCCCGAGCGGTGGTGCGCGCTGCTGGGCACCGAGATGTGGATGCGTGCGCTGGGGCGCTCCCCACCAAGCCTGCGCACGTGCGCCCTGAGGGAGCTCCTACGCGGCGGGGAGCGTGCACGCAGCACCATGCTCGATTCCCTGCCCGTACGCCATGGCATCTAGCCTCGATATCCACGGAAGTTCCAGACAGGCGTCCATGTAGCGGCACCAGATGGGCTTCATTGGAAGTTCCAGACTTCTTGTGGAAGCACCGGGAGAGACTTTCGTGAACGTTTCAAACTTCTGTGCAAGCTCTTGACATCTGTGGAAGCCCCCGGACAGGCATCCACTGAAGTTTGAGGCATATATAGCAGGGCGATTCCACGCCTTTAGTTCAGCACTTTAGTGGGTAAGGACTGGTGAATCATAAACAGATTTTTTTTCGAGACTCCCAAATGCACTGATGCTGAGAGGTTTCTTCGAGATGGTCAGTACAACAAGTGGGTTCAGCAAATGGGTTATGTGCGGACTTTTGCATGCAATCTTCCCATATGTTTCTTAGGTTTTTTTCAAGTACCCCAGATTCCTCACAGATGTAATGCAATGTTCAAAAGGTCAAATATCTGAAAGCTGGGCTCTCATGGAAAAACAAGTGTCTGTGGAGGCTCAGTGACGCTCAACAATACGAAACACCTGTGGAAACTCCTGACATTTGTAAGCCTACCCCTGCGCCTGACATCCACAGTAATTTTAGACATTGATGTGTAAGACTCCTGAGACAAATGCTATCTTATGATATCGGTGGGATTAACTTGTAATTGGCGGAAGTGCAGAGCAAACGACATCCGTGGGATTCCCAGAAGTAAGCACACAAACGTCTTTGCGATGACGACAGAAAGTGTAGCCCAGTTGTTGCCTCGACTCCGGCCAATGTAGCTCGTGTTGAGAGTTTGTTACGGATGTCAGGCAATGAGGAATGCGGAACATATCGGACTTTAAAAGGGGGATCGTGTGAACAGTGCATTCAATAATGCATGACGGGTTTTATTTCTGACAATAATGTACCCTTTGGGTGCCAAAAATGAAAACAAATAGGATTTGCTTTTGTTGTCGCTGATTCAGCAGATGCCTACGAGAAGGCAATGGCCTCTTGTTTCAATGTAGTCGTTCCACGCATATTATGAATTTTGCCACGACTGGTACAGCCGTCGCCGCACTGCTGCCTCGGCTTCCAAGAATCTCACTCCTCCTTACACCCCCTTCCAATATCCATTTGTGCAAGGGCACCACCAGACGTAAATGACACAATTGATTAAGCATCCATTGCAACACCCTGGCGGTGCAACACTCTCCATGTGACACGTAACTCTCACATGAAACATGCACTGCTAGAACTTATGAATGCAAAATCATCGTTTATGGAGATATTTTTGTAGTTGCCACCGCATGTAACAGCTGCTCACATCGGAATGTTTACTAAACGGAGAGTATTTAAAGGTATTGGTTGCCTCCTTGTATTCCTATTTTAAAACTAAGCCCACTATGTGAGTGCAGATTGGTAGAAATGTAACGAGTCACTGAGACCCAAATTTAAATTGGTTCGTATTCTCACGATACTGCACGCGAACCTCCATCGTGCACTTAAAATTATTGGTGGGTGCTCAGTGTCGCAACTAAACAGGCCATGTGTGGCGGCGTCATGGTCCAAATCTGCCAAATGCAACCAAATTACTTGCAAATTACCTAACTGGAACAACTAATAGCGAACATGGCCCCCTTGCTGGCAGACTAATGCCCACCTGCAGGCAGGTGATTGTTCACCTTGTGCCACACAGGGACAAGCTGCCAATAGGGGGCTCAATAGGCGAAATAAATATATATAACTGCAGTGAGAGGTTTTGTTACGTTGTAGGTGCAATATAAATACAAGTATCATTGTCATTTTATGCTTTTTATACCACTAAAGATTCCACAGATGAATGCCATCTTGGAATTAGTTTCACCAGAATGGCAGAAAGAATATCGGTTCGAGAAAACAATGAATCTATGAATTTTGATAACGCCTTGAATCGTAGAGAGTGTGACTTATTACATCCCTACAGACGGACGACTGAGAAGGGAGACGGAAGACGTCAGACACGTTTAGAACCCCGCCTGCATACCATACATATCCAGCTGACACAAACATTTGGTTGGAAATGCTGTGCAGAGAAGCCGAGGTGGCTAGCAAGCAGGCTTTCATTGGTGTTCTTTTTATTATCACAGTTGGCTGCTGTAGGACTATTTTGGGCCTACAGTGCAAAGCGGCCAGCGATTGATACATTGTTTCCACGGCACAGTTAACTCAAGTAAACTGGAGCTGGCCTGAGCTGGCCTGATTTCTCCTCGTTGGTACAAAAAGATAAAACTGAAATTGGCGTTTTCAAGATTTTCCTAGTTACTCGAGTTATCACATGAGATTGGCAGGTCTTCCTTGAGAAAGTAAAGTCAGGGTAAGATTCTCCTTGTTGTGTTAGTTGCTGGTAAATTCAGTCCCGTCTCTTCTTCTATGGCTGTCACTTCTCACGTGGTATTCACAAACGGCAGGAGCAAAGGTTTTCTACGAATTCTAATGCGGCGTTCACTAGCACCGGATGTACAATTAAATGTACCCGCCTACATCTTTCATTGACATGTTTGGTGGCATATTTACGCTAACTCGAGTTGACAACAATAGGGACAAACACAGCGGCAGCAACTCGAGTTCGTTCCAGAGTTACGTGGCTCGTGGAAACGCACGCGGCCGGATGTCAAGTTTCTTAGGCCCTCGGAGCCTCCTGACTTCCGAGTCACAATATTTGTGGTCTTTGCCACAGACGTGGCTGTAGGGGAGAACATTGCCGACCAGTTAGATCCAGTGCAAAGGCTGCTCGTGGCAAGAAGACTGTAATAGCTGGTAATAGACAGCCTTACTATTCAAGTCAAGGCCGTAATTATAATATATATTGGGGGGGACACATCCCCCCCAATATTAAAAATATACTCAAAATGTCCCCCCAATATATTGCTATAAAATTGATTTCTGTCTATATTATTGTGGTTATAGTTGTACTTTATTAATCCCTAATCTCTGCCGTTACATACAATGAAACAAGAAAAGGTGAAAAATAAAAAAAACAGAGCAATATAATACAATACACTATTAGACATTATGGTAAAAAATAAATAAAAAGTCCATCCAATGTGTTAGTAAATGTTTTTTTTTATATTTTAGAGAGGAACTTAGGTTTCAAATTGAGACGTTTTTTTCTGGGGGGGGGGGACCCCTAGACCCCCTGGAAGATTTGGTCCCCCCAATGTTGACTCAATGGCTACGGCCTTGATTCAAGTGTATGCCATGATGCTGTAGCTCTATCTCATCACCCCGTGCCTACCTGTTATGTTGTTTGTTATGTCACATACGGATGCCAACGGCACTTCTAATACCATTAGCAACATGTCCGGTGCTCGATACGTTCTTCCCAGAGTTTTGCGGCTACTTTGCAAGACCAGCTCTGTGCCAATCTTAACCAAGAGCTGCTCAGTGTGCAGTCTGCATGAAATAAGTCCTGCGGTGAATGCACGATCGCACCCCCTCCAAGAACAGTTTAATTTGTGCGCCGTTACTGAAACCTGTCACCAAGCATTTACCAAAATCCGACAATCGCTCCCTTACATTGCAAACAGAGCACAGCGGTGTGGCTCGTTATGGGACTCGCCTTCCACAATCGTGTCACACCTGCTCTTCGAAAGTTGCGCCGGCTCCCAGTTCACTTTTGCATCGAGTATATACTCTGCTGCCTATTAATGCACATGGCCTATATACACACCTGTCCAGTCTACTTGTCCAAAAAACCCTCACAACCCATATAAAATCTCATGTATCACAGGCCGGTCCTCGCTCTGCAGACAAGCTCTTGACTACGTCGTCCCGCGTGTACAAAATAAAATTTGGGGAGCGGCGCATTCTCATACGCTGGGGCCAAGGCTTGGAACTCGCTGCCCAGCAAACTGCGTGCCACTTAAAAACGTATATATATTTTTTAAACTTCTAAAGTGTTATATTTTCAATCTGGCTTTTAATTGTTAAGATCAGAATAATGTGATGCGCTGCTGGTCAATATTGTACGCAACGCAAGATAAGTTTATTTTGTTATTTTGCGCGATGATGCGGCCGATGAGAACCATTGCGTTTCTTGAATTGAGCGAAGGTTATAGTAGCTATGGAAACGATGCGACGGGAGTTGGTTTAAAAGTAAAGAGGAGAAATATTGTGTCTTACACCATCATGTTAAACGAATCCCTCAACATTTGTGATGGAGCCAAAAGCGGTTGCGCTGCGTTTGATGCCAGCAGCTATGATTGTCTTACGTTTAACACGTTAAAGGCCAGATTATCATCTTAGTGAAAGTTTATATGAGTATATTTTGCTTGTGAAAAAAAGTGCCGATGCGTGCCAAGTTGCCAAAACCACGTGTTTTGGCCGTTTCTTCGAAGATAGAAATGTGGCCATAAAAAGACTGAAACTTGTAATGGTTAGCCAAACAGTTTTCGGTCAGCGGAGGAATTTTGTATATCCGTTGTAAATTGTGTGTAATGTGTATATGCGTGTAAATATATACATACTGGGTGCTGTACAGAATGTTCACCAGTTTGATGTGTACATACGTGAATAAAAACAAATATACGCGTAAAATGAATTGTATGGACAGTGCTCATTGCCATTGGTAATGCATTTCCCATTGCTTGTTTACAATATAGAGGTAAATGCGCAGCCCTGCAATAGCTTTCTCACGCAACTGCTGGCAGCAGGGCCTCCACCAGTTAGGACTCGAGTGTGGAGCACACCTCCAGAGGGTACGTAGATCCACTCTTCCACTCTTCCAGGCGTCTTGAAGACTGTTGTGGTACTCACACTTTACCCCACCTGACGATCCACCAGCCGATTGGTGGACAGAGGCGGTGGGGGAGAGCGAAGCGAATCGTGATGCTCATATGGATACTCGTGTTGATCCTTAGGGGTCGTCCATAAATGACGTCACGCACCTAGAAGGGGGGGGGGTCAGACATTTGTTTTCTCCTACAACATCAGAGTGCAGCGCCACATTAAATACGCACTACAATGACAATAGTTTAAAGCGATTTAAAGCAGAGCTTTGTGACGTCATATTTGAGGGGGGGTCTGACTTTTTGTGACACTGTGTGACGAGAGGGGGGGGGGGGGGATCAAAGTCGTCCAACATCGCGTGACGTCATTTATGGACGGCCCCTTATGTTGATGATTTCGATGTTTATTATAATGATGAATGTATCTGTGTAGAACTTAGCCAACCGTGCTATTCGAAGGTGCGGGGGAAGGACATCAAACTAAACACAAACAGCAGTTTTAACGAAATTCTTTTCAAATCTGGATTTTAAAGTACATCGCTCCAGTGGCTTCCTAACTAGGGCTGAACGATTTGGGGAAAATATCTAATTGCGATTTTTCTGACAGATATTGCGATTTCATTTGCGATTACATTTTTTAATGTCAAGCTTTAGTTAAATATTCACTGTGTAATAGATTTAAAACATGTGATGGAGCATTACCACATGATACCATCTATATATTTTAATGCAAGGAGGAGAACTTAAAATATATGAATTGCTTCCAACGCGTATTTATTAAAATATTTTAATTGAAATAGAACAATCGAACATAGAACAATTGTTAAGTGAAATAAATAAAGTTATAATAATAAAAAAGAAAACAATTCCAATAAGAAAGTAATAGGACTTTTCAAATTGCAAAAAATCGCAGCCTTGGCGATGTTCTAATCGCGTTGTTTCAAATTGCGATTTCGATTTGAAATCGATTAATCGTTTAGCCCTATTCCTAATATCGGAAGGAGCGTTCCAGACGGCCACAGAAGCGCATCTGAAAGCACACGATGCAGTGACCGTCTTTGTTCGATGGTTAGCCAAAACTCGGTGCGAGGATGACTGGAGTTCACGTGTTGGTTTATGCTCCCTGACGAAATGATGACGATGTCGTTGTTGTTGTTGATAGTGGTGATGACGACGATGTTAAATCCCCAAGATAGGAGCCAGCTCTGTGCACGAGTGCCACTGCTCGGATGGTGCCGCGTGCTCATAATCTGCTGACGTCAGTGATACCCACTGCTGACGTCAGTGACCGCCACTAAATATATACTCGTCCGTGTTGGGCGGAGGCGTGCGGCCACGGTATTCTGGGAGGACCAATCGGAGACGAAGATGTGACACCTCCCCCCCTCACCCATTCACCGACCACCTGCTCCCTGCCCCCCTCCTTTCCCCCAGCCCCTCCTTCCCTATCAAATCACTCTCCTACCTTAAAAATAACCCTACCAGGAGTTGGGAGAAGTTGAGTTTAAGTCCTGGATGGGATTGGAGGTTGGTTGAACAGTTTCCTCCAAGATTCAAAAGTTTCACTTTTATTCTCATAACAAGGCGAGAACTCAAAAGATGGGGAACGTGTAATTGGCGTGAGATTGGTTATCAAAATGACAAAAGCATAAGAAATCAGATAAATTACACCAATGATAGAAATATAAATTAGAGCAAGGTGAGTTTGATCAATGTTGACACCTTCAGATGAATGTGATACGGAATATCCAACAGAATGCTTGTTCAATACAGATAACCCCATATAGAACCCTTGGCCCCATTCAATACGAAGAGCTCTTGTCTGATCCAATGCAGGCTTCCCTCGCTTTGTCTGGTAGGGCGCACTAAGCGAAATCGCGCAAGAGAGCTGCCTGCCGAGTAGCGCATGCAGTACACTACACACCAACATGGTCCCACGTCCGAATGCATCACCACACATTTCGGGAATTATGGATATAAATAGGTTTAGCCGCATATACGCGAAATCGTACAAAGTGTAAGTTATAGTTTCATTACATGAAGCGAATGTATCGAGAACCCTTGACGCATCGAACACAGAAATTAATGTCTCGTTCCTAACATAATCCTCCTCTCATTCGACGTAGAACTCTGGCCTCATCCAATAAACGCAAATTCAGAATCGGCGTTCCATGTACCTGATGCAGACTCCCGTGCCCTGTTTGACGCAAACACTCCCTATGGAGTGAAGTTTGTTCAAATAGTGTTGGCCTATTCCACCAATCACATTTCGAGGTCAAATTAAACCTGGGGGTGGCGGTGAGCGATATTTAAACCAGTTCAGGGTCGAATCAGCTTTGAAATTAGCATTGGAGAACATCAAAGGCTGCCGTGCGTGCTTCTGTCTACACCACACTTCCGTTTAGCCCGTCCCAGCTCGATAAGATTCTCGGTAACACCGGCGTGCCTGAAGGTGATGTTGCGTCTGTTCAGCAATGCAAACATTTTGAAAAATTCTGGCCGCTAAAACGATAGGGACGTCTTCCTGCGTGACAAATGTAGTAACATCGTTATCATCCTCATCTGGGTACAGTACATGATTTGATTATCGTGACAGAGATCTTCGTAAACATCCTTAACAAGTGTTGTGATTGTGCCTTGATCATGCGTCATATGGTTCCACCATACAGCCTAAGATCTAACATTTGGAGTAAGTTCTGCCATGAGTTTCGTGTATATAATGTTGGGTTTTTTGGTCTTTAGTTTGTACGCTCCCTCCTTGCGATGTCCTAAAGCAACTGCCGCCACTTGGGCTGTGGCCATCCGTGTCACAAAGCTGCTGAGCTCAATGGGGCCTCACCAGCTGAAACAAAATCAGAATCTTTCGACTGGAGGAATCCGATGAGCGATGAAGCTCTTTTATCACAGATGTCCATCAACGTCCGCTCCTGGCTGAATTCATGCGCCCGGATCGTGATGATAACGATGAGGCTTTCATCCAGCAGCGGATAGATAATGCATGTTGTTGTTGTTGGTGGTGGTGGAGGATGTGGGGGTCACGGTAGGTCTTGGGGTTGCGGGGGAGGGGGGAGGAGGGGAACGGTGGTTGGGAGCGCCTCCTATTTTAGAGATGCACACGCGCGCACGGAGACACGTGGTGCCGCGCTCACGTTACGGGAATGACGCGCGTAACCCAGCGTGGGGATGTATTTACACCACGTGATAGGCTTTGATAATTCTCCATTGGCTCTGTATGGAGGAAAGCCCCGATGAGGCTTGATAATTGCAATGTTGCAATGACGTTCAGCTTTGCTTCCATAATGTTGGTGGTGGAATGGTAAGGGTTCAGCCCTGCAATTGCTTGGCTGACGACACTGCTGGCGGACGGGCCGCCACTTGAGGGAGCTTGATAAAGAACCTCGAGTTGACCTACTCCTCCAAGCGGCCCGGACGTCTTGGAAGAGATGTGGAGATACCCACGTACTGTCCATGCTGCTGGGGGACAGAGGCGGGGGTGATTGAAAAAATAACACGCATCATTGGTTTAACTGCCGCGCCGAGAGATCGAATCGAACCTGCGACCTCTATATTGCACGTCCAGTGTGCTAACCATTACAGGGGGTCACCCAGGTAATTGTGGGTCAACCAGATGATGGTTATTCGACCAGATGGTTGTGGGTCAACCCGATGATTGTAGGTCACCCGGATCATGATGGCGGACAACCCAGATCATTGTGCATCAACCAGACGATGGGTGTTCAACCAGATGGTCGTGGGTCAAGCAGATGACGGTGGGTCAATTATATGACGGTTGTTCATCCCAGAATTGTGGCACTCCAAAACTGCCTGGGTTGTGAGGTCGCCGAGAATTTGCAATACAAACAGTGGGCTTCTGAACCCACCTTGTGCGGACCTTTAAAAATGAGGCACATCGGTGTACGTCACTTTTTATTGACAGGCTGAGCTTTTCGGAAACACCCCAAACCTGCTCTCGTCCGCCTCTTTATTGCATAACGTTATAAGAGGGCGAATGAAACATTTGGAACACTTTACCCCAAGAAAGTTGTGCTTGAGATCTTCCCAGCAAAAGAGATCGCTAATCTGAGCGCCATCTCACAAGCTTCAATTGAGAGAACATGAACCGTACTGTAGTATGGACCTTACAGGTATTATGGATAGCATAGTAAACCACTCTCGCCTGCGCTCCTTGAACGTAGGAGGGAGAGTAAAACGACAGGGACTGTCTCTCTCTCTCTCTCCTGAAGCCTTATCTGGTCGTGACGAGCAGCAGACCTCGACTGGGAGGGCATAGAGCTTCCTGAACGTGCTGCTTGCTGCTGCCACCATGCGCATGAATAGAATGAGCGACCTGGATGTAAGGGGCCATCCATTTAGTGCGTACGCATGGAGGGGGTTAACACAAATGCGTACGCTTACGTATGGGGAGTCTATTGATAATGTACGTACGCATAAGAAACGGGGGGGGGGGGGGGGTGAAGCCTCGATAATAATTCGTCTACATTGGCCTTCAAATTAGTTAGATAGTCCGGCGGTGGATCATCTGTTTGCTTAAACACGTGGATTAAATATCGTCCATTCTATAGGATTCGGGGGGGGGGGGGGGGTCAAGTGTACGTACGCATGTGGGGGGGGGGGTGTAAAAAGTACGCGTGCGTATGGGGGGGGGGGAGGGGTCAAGTTTTGACAGATTTTTGTGTACGAACTGGATGGATGGCCCCGAACCCGGCTGCGAGAAAGATTTGGAGGACGTCGCCCTCTGGCGGTCATTGCTCCGCAAACGGCAGCAGCAAGTGGCT